TTATTAAAGCCTGCACCCATATTTTTAAATAGCATAGATTAGTACTAAAACATTTACATGTAATAACTAATTACTTAAAAAATTAAGTAACTTATACCTTGGATAACCTTAAAGGCTTAAACAGATAATTTTTTTCGGGAATTCTAAAATTATAGAAACAATATAAATGAAAATATTATGATGCATAGTAACCCTTAATTCTTTAATCATTCGCTTAATCCATTTTTTAATTCTCACATAGGGAAAAATAAACATAAAAGCTTAGCATTTTTCAAGATTATATATTTTAAAAATCTATTATTGTAATTAGACAATCGCACAAAATTTCCTTTTTTAGATCAATTATAAAATGTTGAGAATAACTTGTTTTGTTTTGTATGATTAATAATTTTTGGTTCGGAGTTTTTAAAGATTATTACAATTTCATTAAAATGCTTCTAAATTAGTTCCAATGTTAATTTTTGAAACTCTCAGTACCCACGTTGACAAATGAGAATTGTATAATTATAAGTACGGTTTAAAAAAATATATATAATTAAGAATCTCACAAATTTTTGGTATTGCACTAAATAAAAATATTGCTAAATATAATGAAAACAGTGTTAAAAAATGTTCATATGCTGTTAAAATTTAAGAAGCCAATCATTTCTAACGCCAGGCCTTTTCTTATGAAAAAAAAAACCTCCAACAGCTTGATTTAAAAAAATATGTGCAGCTATACTGTGATATTTGGTGCCCTGGTGAGAACAGTGATTCCCGCTTAATGTGGATACTTTAAAACCAGTTTTATTTGCCCATATTAAGCGGTTGCCCATAAAAACCAAAATAAGTATAAAAAAATCCACATGACTTTTAAATTTTTATAAAACAAGTATATTTGATGTAACAAGTGAACCGAAAAATTTAAAATATCAAATACTGCTAAATAAAATACATAACAAATTTATATTTAATAATAGTTGTTCATTATGTGCACACTTTTTAATTCGATATCCTTTCTATTTTTCTACACACTTACTAACTATCACTGGCAATAAACTGCTCGTTATCCATTTTCTGTGCTTACTCTCCGATTAAGATGATACTAATGAGTAGTTGCCTCCAAAACAAATTCATGTTATATAAGTATAGATTTTAATGCAATTTTATTAATAAAAAAAAATTATAAAAATTCTTAGGTTTTGGTTTTCAGTACGATCCCAGAAACCCTAACACCACGTTCTGTTAATTGTTATCAATGAAAACTATTTATTTGAAGCTTTGTAAACGTTGGTATCTTTCTTTACCTTTTTACGTTTTTAGCCATATGTTTGGTTTGAATTTCAGAGTTTGCATAAAACATTTTCTTCTTTTCCTGAGAAGTTTTGCAATTATTGATTTGGGCACTCATAATTGTTTAACAATTTAACATTATAAAGAACTTGGCAGATCCGTTTTAAGTTTCAATTTTGTCCTAAAGATATTTTCGAAGAATATATAGTCTATATTAAATTTTAATATAGTTAAAACTATCCACATTTAGTGGTAGTTTTAACCATTTTTCATATACATTGGAATCAAAACTAGACCATATGGTCTAGTCTTGATTCTATAGTTGTCTAATACGAGTATAATATAATTCTCGTATTAGAAACTACACATACGAAACCATACCTACTGTACTTGAAAAATGTTGAAAGCTAAACACTGAATACTTTTAGAACTTATACTACGATCAGAAATGAGTATAAGTACTTACTTATGGTGATTATGTAAAAACTATTTAGGAATAATTAAATATATGGAAAAATAAAATGATTTTATCTTAAATGAAAGTACTCTGAAAAAATATTTCTACACTATGTTATACTAAGTAACTGTATAATTTCCCAGTATCTTTATAAATATATCACTTTAAAGTTTTCTTTAGTTTCTAGAAACTTCATTAGATAGATATGTATGTATTTTATCTTATTTATTATTTACATATATATAAATGAATGAGTTACTATACTCAATAATTATCTGACCGATTTTTACGTGGTTTTATGCAAAATGGTCTGCGTTTTCTGGGGAAGGTATTTGACCATTGCAATCCTTTGATAGTCCCTACTACCATACCAAAAAACATACGGTAATAAGGAAAAAAAACTTTTATAATTATTTTAACTGTTATTTTGTTGGAATGTCTCAAATTTCGTCAAGTTGTATTTTTTTTTTTGCATACCATGCATTCATATACATTTATTTTTGTAATACTAGCGTCAAAAAAAATAAAATAAAAATGGTTACCATGGTTAGTTATCCACTAGCGTTACGTTAAATGTAAGCATACGCTTAGATTATATTTAAGGTTAGTTCAATTATATAGTAAATAGAATAGTCATGGAATAGTCATAACAATTTTTTTCGTTTAAAATTATATATTGTATTAGTTTCTATAATTCATCATCGATTTATTTCAATAAAATAATGGAATCTTATTATTTTAAGCTATCTTTTATGTCCCATATTTCTCTACAATGAATTATGGATTTTAGATTTCAGATCAGCCATATTGATATTTATTGATGTAAATAAATACACGTAGAAAGGGCAATAATGTATAATAAATTTAGCAATAGAAAAATATTGCAGGGTTAACTAAAATAATATATATATATATATATATATATTGAAAAAATAAAAATTTAATAACGAATAATCTTTTTTTTTCGAGTTATATATTTTTTGGGTATATTAATTACCATGAAAACTGTAATGCCATGAGACATTTTTAAGCTATAATTTATAATATTATTTACACATAGAATAACACCTAAATAAAATCGCTAGAATTTTAAATGGTACTCTACACCGCTATAGTTCTATGGTGCTGATAATATCATACGAAGACAAAATAAATAATATTCTGTAGGCCTACTATATAGTGTCATCACCTCTCTCTCCTTGCGTCGCGTTCGTCCACCGGACTAACACATTAAACGATTTTCGCATGAACGACAAAAAAACCACTAGCCATCACGTTGCGTAATCCAGTACATTATAATATACCCGAGTGCGTGTGGGTTTGTCGTGTATGGTACGCACACGGTTCAGAACAGATAGTGCGGTAGCATAATGTTATGTTGTACATCACACGGTTGCGGTGCATTATAAGAATATTATATATATTATCGTACTATAGTGTAGAACGTCATAATACGGTAATAATTATGGTGTGTATATTATTCAAAAGGATATCAAAATGTTGTGAGCATATTGTCGACGGGTGGTGGTGAAAAGAAAGAAAGAAAAAAAATAACGCACTATTATAACAATGCTCTTACGGATTGCATTATACCTTTACATAAGGGTGTGTAAGTACCGCGTTTGTACACGTGCACTTACACCTACCTACCTTTTTACCTGCCGGATGATAGTAAGAATATTAAACAGTAACGCCGCCCGTGATATTGTAATTTATAGAAGATAGGCATAATATATTTTACACATAAATATGTATAAAGTGAGGCAGCCAGCCAGTTATGAAAATCTGCGTGCGACGAGCCCCATCATGGATTCATGGGTGTATAGGCCAACCGCTATTTCTCTTTCTTTTTACTTTTTCACACTAATACAACCAGCTCTACACTTGAATTCTCTTTCTTTTACTCGTTAAAATGCATAATCGTCCTTACCCTTGACCTTAACACTGCAAACGTGTTTATTGCTGTTACACGTGCATGCTCACGCACTCGCGCGCACACACACGCACACACACACACACACACACACACATACAAACGAACACACATACACACTCACTTCAGCACTACGTGTTTAAATTTTTCAAGTTCGGATGTGTGATATATATGATATACTCATAATATATATTTTTACCTATTATTATTTTTGAACTATACTAAATATATTCTATGTATAATATAATATTATACTCACAGCTGTGTAATAAAAAGTGTATATTTATACATTGGACTTAGAATTGACATATTATGTCGGCAGCTATATGCATACATTATTTTTTACTCGATTGAAGTCATGAATAAATATACACAAGTATATATATATTAGGACAGTGAAAGATTCAATAGAATATTATAAATTATAATAAGCTTATGTGGACCGATATGATTTTACGTCATCGTAGTCTCAGCTGCTAAACTGTCATTATTACTTACATGACTAAAGTATATAATATATTATGTATATGTATGTATACGGAAAAGCATATTCCTATCGTATACAGAGTCGTTCTAAATCTTAACATTACCTACCTGCCTATTTTAGTTTTATCCTGAAAAACGAAATACTATTTAAACTCAACGAACCAAATATCAACACCGAGTTTTAAGTTTTACTCTGAAGCAAAATATTACGTAGCATATTATTTTGATACACTCATACAGATTATTTTAAATTATTACTAGTCCATTAACCGAGTGATGCAATTTATTTTAAATAATTTAAATTTAAAATCAAAACTACGTAGTGTTATTATTATTTTTTTATTACATGATTATTTTAAGTAAATTAATAATAATAAAATATTTTAAACATTTCCTAATTTTATACTATTATAAAAGTAAATGTACTTTTGATTCTAGAATTGTTAATACTTATCTCTATTTATTTGACCAATAATACATATTTCTGGAAACTTAAAACAAAATAAAAGCATTTTTATAATAATATATAATAATTAATTTTTTAATAATAAAAAATACGTCTACTATTGAAGAAAGAAAATTGTTTTCAGTAGTTCAGAATGACTCTGTATACAATGAATTATTCGTAAACAATAAATCGTATATGTTTTGTATTTCAATAAAAAAACGTTCTGTAAAAAAAAGGTACAAATCTTACATAATGTAGGTAAACATGTGTTTTCTACCACCCTAGGGATACTTAGTAGGTAGGTACTTCAAGCAGTTTATGTGTATTGTGAAGCGAAGATCTTGTGTGTTTCTACAGTCTCTCGTACCACTCATCCAAACAATAATAATAACATTCTGATTTAGATTATGGAAAAATTTCTACTTTATTTTCTGGTCGTATGCCTGTTAATTCAGTTGGTGCACAGTTATGAATATTTAAAAGAAACATTCAACTCCAAATACCTGGTAATAGGAGTTATTGGATTTTTAACTCTTTGGTATAGTTACCGTTTGCTGATTAAACCACTGGATATACAAAGGGTATGGATAGAGTACTTATTATGATAAATGTTATATTAAATATTAATACAATAATTATACAATTATATATTATTTAACGAGTTACCCTATGGTAATATTTTAATTTTCCATAGAAATTGGCGGACGTGGGCTATAAACAATACTTCACACAAAAACAATGGGCGTCGAAAGATAAATTACACTTGATACGATCCATGATGAGTCTCAGGAAAAAAGGAGCGTTGCCGCCCGTCTACCCAAATGGGTGGTTTGCACTCCTAGATTCCGATCAAATTAATATCCAACAAGTGAAATACGTGACAGCTATGGGTATCTATTTTATTTTTACAAAACTTAATATATGCATAGTTGAAACACCTACTGAATAGGTATTAAGTATACTTTTAAATAGTATTATGGATGATATAGTGATTTCATTAACATTTTTGTCTAAAGCGTGTTGTGTTGGACAACACAAGTGTTTTCAGATGGAGAATTAATAATTTAAACATTATACTATTAACATCCATTAAATAAAATTGAATAAAGCCTTGACTCTTGGATCATAAAATTAAAACATTTTTTTTTTTTTAGTTTTATTTCTTACGGCTTTCGTATAACGCCATAACGACCAAAAATCTTTAAGAAGTTTCAGAATAAAATAAAATAATATAATAAAATTTACTCACAGATGTGTATAATATATTAAGAGTACCTACGTCAAATTAATTTTTTTTAGTGTTGTTACTGATTAATTTATTATCATCAAATTTCTTTAAATGGCATTTTTTTATTTGTTATACTTGGCACAGTAAAAAATTAATTAATATATAATATAATACCAATATTAAATTCTTATAGAATATAATAAAAATTGATTTCAGATTTTTATTAGATAAACATAAACAATACATTTTTTTCTTTAAATATAACTATTAATAGCTAAATAATATGTTTAATGAAAAAAATATTTTATTACTATTATTTTATTATTATTACTATTATAAGTATTATTATCAAACTGAAGATAAATAAGGTTAGTGAAAATTCTAAAAATTACTGTGAAAGTAATTCAGCATCCGTGGGTGTTTAGGTATGCGACGAACTTTTTTTGATAAAAATTTAAAATATATGTCTATGTTTCTACGCCACTATAAAGTTTATAATTTATGGATTTTAAGTTGATACTTAACTAAATTATATAAGAGCTCATAAAATTAAAATTTTTATATGTTAAACTATGAAAATTATAATATATATATATAAGTATGTAATTTAACCAGTAGGTATATACAGCTATATTTAGACACATGACTGCTTTGTTATAAGCTAGTTTTAATATTAATTTTAGGAGAAAATTTCGCAGTATTTCGTTCGTCCAATGGCAACATCAATATATTAGATGCTTACTGCCCACATCTGGGTGCAAATATGGCTATCGGAGGAGTAGTTAGAGGAAACAATCTCCAATGTCCATTTCACGGATGGAAATTTGATGGTACAGATGGAAAATGCGTCAACAAAATACAACAAAACGATTGTCCAGATGGTATACTTAAGTTTTAAAATAGATTAAAATTCATATTAATAATAATAAGCTTAAAGTTAAATTCTATAATTATTGGTGGATTTATAGTTTTTTGTTAACAAAGAAAAAAATGTTGCAAATTTAGAATTACAGTATTATATTAGTTATTATCGTATTCATATTATACAAACAAACATTTCGGTTTGTGCAGATACAATTTTAACCAAAACATCGGTAAAAAAATGGGAGTCGTTCGAGGCAAACGGTTTCATATTTGTATGGTATCATTCAGAAAATGAAAAACCCTCATGGTATCCTCCTAGGGATGAAATGATTAGCAATTGGACTTATCGTGGTCGAAGTGAACACTATGTGAATGCACACGTACAAGACATTCCAGAAAATGGTGCAGATGTAGCGCATTTATCAGTTTTGCACGGTGACATGGCACTAGGAGGCCAATATGCAGCTCAAGCCAATACATCTCTGTGGAATATTCTGGGCAACCATAAATGGAAAGCCGAATGGAAAGCCGATAAAGACCAATGGCACTTGTCTAAACTAAAATTGGAACACAAACTTAAAGTGTTTAAAAATTTTGTCATTTTTCAAATGAATGTTACAGCAGATCAGGTAAAAATACTCATATTCCAATCCAAACTGACTCTCATCTTCCTCTAAAACAGGGTTAGCCAACTTGGGATACACGTGCCTCTAGCCAGAAACTTGATATTATTTTAAACGGTATACTCTCATTAGCATATAAATTGACCCGTTATACTTCATTTCGGTTATTTTCAACTATTATATTTTAACATTAAATAATAATAATCATAAAGATTTAAATTCACAATACAGTAAGTATATTTATGTCCCAAACAACCACCATCTTGGAAACCGAATCGACATTTTGTAAAATATAACACATTAACCAGGTATTGAAGATTCCCTTTTACGTTTTTCAAGTAATATTGTTTTGTGTAAAAAAAAATTACGATAAACCTTATATAAATCTTTTCTGGTTGTTCTATCTTCTGTGATATAATTACCTAATATCAGAAATTAAATATTATTGGTGGTAAACTGCTTTAATAAAATAGCAAATAACAAATACCAAATAGCAGTCAATATTTTATGTAAAAAAAACGTTATGACTACTATAGCTGTTTTATTTGTATAAGTTCATCATTCCATAATAGAAAATATGTATAAATAAATCTAAATAGTAAATAATAAATACCCAAAATTGATATTAGTTAATTATAGATTCGAGATATTGTTAATATAACAATAATGATAACAATAAAATAATAATTTTCATTTTCATTATAAATTGTTTGCCAATTGCAAATATTAACTAGTAAAGATCACGCACTCGGATTTCAATGGTACGAGCAACGGATCGTTAGCGTTCATCCACATATCGATTTGAGCCAGGGTTTCGTTTAATGTTCTTTCAAATGTTATGTTTACTTTATTTTAGTCACTCTTGTATAAAACAAGAATATAAATATTAAATAATATACTAAACATTTTTCATTTTTAATGTTTGTTTTTGTTAGTGATAACATCGGTACAGGAATATCATAATAAAAATATTAACAGAGTGACTAATTTAATAATATTTAGCAGCTTTATAATATTTTTAATAATAGCAATAGCAACTACTTTTAATTTTGATTAGCAACTTGTTATTGTTAATAGAAAATAGCAGTGCTGTTTACTCTGCTACTGCTATTATCAAATCACCATCATAAAATATAATTAGATACTTGAGATATATCTTAATTTGAACCTAATGTCCAAAGTTTATAGTTATTATCGCCTAATGCCAATCCAATTAGCATTAATCAATATAAAACCCCAAATAATAGTGAAAGCCGTAACATTAATAACATAAATGTATAATAAGAAACTGATGTTTTGTACACTTTTTATATTAGAAAAGTGTTAATTTTTACAGTACATTAATATGTATATATTCAGCGCAACTACTGGTGGGGTTTGGGGGTTGTAACCCCCCTCGACATATTTTCTGAGATTTTTACAAATTCTACACAGATAAAAAAATTGTTTATTATGAACACACGAAACGGCTGATTGATATGAAATATGAATATTATTCGTATTGTAATTGATAACAATAATAACATGACAATATGGAACGATTTGTAACATTCCGTTCAACTTTAAAACATCAATAACCTTACTACTACAATTTCTCGATAGTCGATTGTATAATACTTTTTTTGTAGTATCATAATATGAAATAGAAGTTAAACAGTTTAATTTGTAATTGCAATATTTTACTCATAAACCTAACTTAATCTTACTTCCTTACCCCACTAAAAACCTGCAGAAAATGCTTATTTTTTCCAAATTCACAACCCCCTCCCTATTTGTACACACTGCGTGTGAATTTAATGATGAAATTATGAAAATAGCGTAAGGAAATTTAAATAAAAAATTTCGTATAAAGAAATTATCGATGAATTGCGTCATAAAGCGAGAATTGCAAATTATCAAAGTTTAAAATTAATACTCTAATAATATATAAGTATAAATTGTATATTTAAAAATATTAGTAAAATTAAAGGTTAAAAAAATATTGTGACAAAATTTTAATTATTTAAAAAGCGTTTTTTTCAGTTTATCAGGGGCGTTAGCAAGTCTTCCTACGCCACAGTATAACAGTGTTGTTATCAGATTCCAAATCCAAACGTCAGTGGCGTGCGCAGAAAATTGGTATGGGGGGAGGATGTCATAAATAAAAATGTATTATTTTCAATTTTTATTCTTTATTATTATACAAAAAAAAAAAAAAAATGTAATCAAGGCTGAAATTCATCCTTATGGCTTTTACACTAAATTCATCAATTATTTGTTCTGTAAATAATGGAATGTTTTGATGTATGTTCATTAACGCCAATCAATTTAACCGTGACTGCCCCGTCGTATTTCTTAAATACATTTTTAAACATTTAAGACTAAAAAAAAAAGTCCATGGGGGGGATATATCCCCCATCATCCCACCCCTTACACCCGCCACAGCCAAACGTATACGTTTTATATTATTAGGTATTGGTGTGTTAAAATTTAATTAATGTAATAAATCATATTATACATTTCAAAGATGATTTCCGAGTAAAAACCCATGACAACATATAATCGTTATTTATTTCATAATATGAAATTGTGATAGGCTAATAACGATTCATGTGAATAATGAAATGTGGACTATAATAGGAAACTAATGAACTATTTTTTTTTTTATAAAGGAAGTTGCGAGTTGAACTGAGACTTCAAATTCCGAGGGTTGAGAATTTACATTCGAGATTTAATTCAGATTGAAATAAAAGAGTTGGAAGAATTGAAAGTCAATTCATTGATTCAACTCATTAAACTGAACTGTGTTCAAAGATTTAATTCATCAAAATGAGTTGAAATTCCCAACCCTACTTATCTTACAATTTAATTTATAAGTTCTTCATTGATTAGGAATAGGCCTAACTAAAGCTTACATTTGGAGGGGTTTGCTATTTAGATAATACAGACCCATAAGGGTTACTCCCTCAAACTCAGTGGTGTAGCCAAGGGGGTGGCTAAGGGGGCTATAGCCCCCCCCGTGGGCCGTGTTTATATGTTTAATGTATCTATGTACTAAACTAGTATACTACTATTTTCTTTCGAGTATTTTAAACCTTTGGTATTAACTAAATTTTGACGATTAACGAATAGCAGGTGTTTGTCTTTGGCATAGATATTACAGATTACTAATACTTCTAGTTTCTACCATGATTATCACTATCTTTTTGATGGTTATCATGCAAGTTGTGGCGAATCACTATCAAATATTTAATGATGTTGTCAACATGGGAAAAAGTGTTAATATTGAAATAAAAATACCACGAGTATGTAAAAGGCAAAGGAGGACTGAGAGAGAAGAGTACAAAATATCAAGAGACTCTAGGATGAAAAAAATTCAACTTCAAAATTAGCCATCATTCATTACCAACTACCATTGACCATTGTTTTTCCATTAGCAGCATGTACTAAACCTTTAAAAAAATTAGTTTTGTAGTTGAATCCCTAAGGTCATTTATGATTTCAAAATTGTGCTCTGTATCAGAGCCAAAAAATCATAATTAATATTAAATTGTATGCATTTACATACCTCTTATACAATTACCAAGTCAGCATTGAATTGTTGATTTAAATTGGATATTTTCTTTTTTTTTCACAAACAATACATTTTGTAAAAGATTTAAAATAAAACCAAGGGTACAAATATTTGAAACTTTTGTCTCATTGTAGATTGGTCCTGGATTGGTGATTTTAAATTTTAAAACAAGCTTTGGACCAATGAAATTAGTTCAAACAGTCACACCTGTAGAACCATTAATTCAAAAAGTTGTTCATCGTGTGTATTGTCCAATTTATTTGTCATTATATGCATCAATACTTTTATTTATGGAATCTGTAATGGTAAGATTTGATTTTAAATGTTATGCTAAATACTTAATATATTTATTAATTTTTTTATAATGAATGTTTAGTACAATACTCATTTCAATTTTCAAATATATATTTTGTTCTATTTTTTATTTTTAATTAATATTTTTTTAACTTATAAATAATAGGTGGAGTAGTTGAACAAATATAGACTATAGTGTTAAAGCTTACCAACATTGATTAGAACCTGGCTACAGGAGGCCAGTCTTTTGTAGACTTTTACCCTAGTATTAATATGATAACTATAAATTATTATCCTATATATTAGTATAAAACAAATTGTAATATTACATTCATATAAAATTTAATTGGATATATTTTAATAATAGTAATTTTAGTAAATGTTTTTAATCTTATTTTTTAATAACAGTGAATATTCATTATTTTTTTTTTATTATTATTATAATTGCAGTTTGAAAGAGATGTAGTAATTTGGAACCACAAGAAATACATTGAAAAACCTTTGGCTTCAAAACAAGAATCAACACTTTTAGCACATAGAAAATGGTATAAGCAATTTTATAGTGCTAATAGCCCCACTTTTAGTTTCAGAAAAGAAACAATAGATTGGTAAATTAATATTATATAAACTTTTATTATATGCAGCAGAAAAGTATTAATTAATACAGAGAATAATATATTAATATTAATATAGAAAATAATGGTACAATGTTCAATTAATTAATTTAGCCAAAAGAAATAAACAAACTGAAAACAGTTAATATTATAATAAAATGTTTTATGTATTTTTTATCGTTGAATTATCTGAGTTTCTTTTTTCAACCATGTAATTGCTCTCTGATCACCTAATTTCTCTAACAGCGGCGTTAAAGTTTGTAAACATTTGGAATGATATTCGTTTAAATAATCAATCTGAAAATAATGTTTAATTTATTATTATAAATAATTATTTCATTGTTATATTTCTTACCTCTTTATCAGTGAGCAAATCAATTACCAACATTTTAGTTTGTATTGGACACAAAGTAACAGTTTCAAATTGTAAAAATGGCCTTTGAGGCATTTTGTAATCTGTTATTGAATCTTTTACCAACACAATATCTTCAAGACGAATACCAAAATCTTTCTCATAATATCCTGGTTCTGAAAAATGAATTGAATCAATATCACATGCAGTTTAAAATTAATAAAATATTACCATTTGATAAAAACATTCCTGATTGCAAACCAGGATCATTAGGAATTTCTCTCCAAGATATTCCCATTGGTCCTTCATGAACATTTAAGTAGGAGCCAATACCATGTCCAGTACCATGCATATAGTCTAAGCCAACATCCCATAAAAATCTACGAGCATATGAGTCCAAACAATTGCCCTAAAACAAAATACACATAGCAATAAAAATGATTCTTAAAACATAAATTTATAATTATACTAGGATTTTGTGAGGAAATTTGCTCATGGCTAAATTTGCTTGGCCTTTAAAAACTCTTGTGAAACATTCTTTCTGATAGTTGGATGGTGTTCCAAAATGTAAAGTTCGAGTTACATCAGTTGTACCATCCCTATTTAAGTAATGCTTAATTTAAAGGCTAGTAATAGTATGGAAATAATAAGGTAATTGATAAAATACGAACAAAAATTGACCGCCTGAATCACACAAATACATTTCATCAACGCTTAATTTTCTATCAGTTTCTGGAGTGGGAGCATAATGAATAATTCCACTATTTGGTCCAGATGAAGAAATTGTTTCAAAACTAAGACTTACAAAATCTTCTTGTAAACTAATGAAATTAATAAGCTATTAGAAATTATTTACACTAGTATTTATTTAAAGAAAAATAATTTTTTAAACATGAAAACTACCTTCTAAATGATAACAATTTTTCAGCCGCCGATATTTCTGTTAAATTTCCTTGCGATATGTTTTCTTCTAACCAAGCAAAATATGAACATAATGCAGCACCATCTTTGATATGAGCATTTTTAAGACCTTTAGATTATAATAAATAAAATTAGTTTTAAATATAAAAATTAAACGTTTTCAATTTACCATTAATTTCTACAGAGTTTTTAATAGCTTTCATTAGAGGAATCGGAGTTGGTTTTGAAATACGATTAGATTTTGGTACCATGTTGACCAAGTTGTAACTAGATTTAGCTGATACCCAAACATTTCCAGTCTTGCAACTGTCTGATGCCAACTAAAACAAAAAAGGTATAAGTCAATATCTATCATATTTATTCAACTAACTTAACTGGTTTCAAAATAAAAACTCATCAAAAAGTCAATAAAACTACGATTTCTGATGTCTTATTATTCTATTATTTATTAAAAGTGATTGGAACCATTCGATAAAATCAAAATCACATTATGCACAAATAAGATCATATTTATAAACACATATACTTCCATACAAACTAAATCTGTAGAAATATCTAAAAGAAATGTTTGCTTACCAAAAAATATACCTATACACTAATATTTAATGAGTTTGGGAAAAAATTAATTAAAATCAGTATTTTCATTGAAATAATAAATTTTTTTTCAAGTTTGACTCTTAATTTAAATAAGGATAGACACTGTTTCATTGTCACTTATAATGCTTTAACCATGATATATATATATATATATACATATATTTTATACAATTTTTGGAAAGCTCACTAAAAAACTGAATGTTTACACTCAATGTATAGAAAATGAATTCCTTCATGTTCAAATTTGGTACACTTTTTTTAAGAATTCCATTCAAACAATGCTCTTATAAATCTATATTAAATATACTCACAATGTCACTGAAAAATGAATGTAGTTTTTCATATGGTTGTATTATGACGGATAAGTTTTCACTTTTAAAATGTTCAGAAACAGCAATAGATAGTTTTTTATCATCAACAAATAAATGTACATCTGTGTGTGTAACAATTACATATGAATAAAATACAGGATTGTATATAATGTCAGATCCTCTTAAGTTTAATAACCCTATTCACAAATACAAAAATATCAAAGTTAGTATGGAGATTCATAATTAGCTACATAGATACACATGATAACTAATATTAATTATTTTTAATATATTAGTCATCAAATTTATAAAAAATAAATACTAATAATGTAATTATTCACACTTACATGCAATTTCATCGAGAGCAGTTATTAACAGTATAGTAGCATTTTTTTCATTCATTTTCTGTCGAACTTCTTCTACTTTTTCTCCACACTTTTTACCTATATAAGATAGATAATTGTTAATAACTTAGTTATTAGGTTCATTAGTATCTAGAACTTTGTCAATCCACAATACCAGAAAATTTAATGTTCAGTGGTTTAACAAGATTTGATGGAGTAGCTGGGCGGTCTGACCACATGCGATCTATGAGATTGGTGTCTAACGCAACTAAATTAATGCCTTTATGCTTTATTTCTTTATTAATTCTTCGCCATTCACTGTAAGTTATAAGATCTGCATCAACTCCAATTCTAGAGCCAGATTTCATATTTTTAGTAAGCCATTCTGATAAAGTTGGTGTTTCTGGCAGGCCTAAAATAAAAATAAATAATAATAATTTTTTATTTCAATAATTATTATTTGAACGACTTAAAAAATTATTTATTATTGTTATATGTATTATAAATTATAATACACTTTTAAGTAAAGAATAAAAAAAAAAAATTAAGATTGTAAGTAAGCTAACTGATTTTTTTTTTTTTTAATTTTAACGCAATTATAACTTAGCATACATATTTCAATCTTGACCCATAATCGATATGAGATTCTACAAAAAACTTTACTCTTCTCAGATATTTGAAAAACGAAAGAAAAATATAGTTACGTTTATTTGAATTGAATGCTTTTAATACATAAAATTACATTAAATTACAAATTTTATAAAATTAAATAAAATAAATCATTTATTATTATTAAAATTTATAGTGTTGTAACATATATATATATTTTAAATCAAATTTACACTTTTTAAATTATTAATTTTTTGTTATTTGTTTTTATATATTAATTAATAGTTAATTATTGTAGTTCTGTAAAACATTTAATAGTTTGTTATATATAGGAAGTACCCATTTTCATTTGAGTCCAATTCTCATCTAATTGCTGTTCAGCTTGAATAAAATATCGACCATCTATCCATAACAAAGCTTCAGTTTGAGTGATAAGAGCAACACCAGCTGAACCTGTGAAACCAGTAATAAAAGCTCGACGCTGATCACATGCAGAAATATATTCATTCTGAAAAAATTAAATAATAATAAAATTATAATTAACAATCATAAAAATAAAGGCTTACTTGGTGAGCATCTTCTGAAAAAACAATATAGCCGTGAATAGGTTCTCCTAAATATTTTAACTTCATCAAGTCACGGAGTCTTGACAAAAGAGGTCCAGTATTGCGGATAGCCATAATGCTATAATTATTGAAAAAAATAAATAATATATTATACATTTGTATAGTATTATAATATATATGTAGTAATTTTGCAAAATTTTCTTCTAATGGCTTACTAAAAAAAGGTCATTTTATTTCTAATTTAAGGGAAGGGAGCATGAGATTTTTGGAAATGTACAAGGGGGGAATGGAATAAAAAAGGTTGGAAACCCTGATTTAAGAGATGTAGCAAAGATCAGTGAGTGAGTGGTATTTGATTTTTATATACATAGATTTGAAATTGATTAATGATACAATATAAAATAATTTTTATAGATTACTATAATTATCAATATTATTTGAAATTTGTCTATTTTTTTTAAACTACATCACAAATAAAAGTTGATGAAAAATGCTATTTTTTAAATTATAGTATTTTAAAATTTACATGATGTGGATATGAATTTTTATGTTTCAAAAATTTAGATTTCCAATAAAAATTGGAAAAAAATGTCGATTTTCAAATTGTATGAAAATTGCCATTTTCAAAATATTTTGTAAATTAGCTACATACTAGGTATTTTTTTTTTTTTAAACTAATTATAAATAATAAAACAATTTAAAATTTAAAATAATAATAACTTAATAAGGTTTTCAAATCAATAGTTTCAAGAAATACTTTTGAGAAGAAAAAACAGAAAAATAGTAGCTAACAGCTACTTTTTTGTAAAAAAAAAAAAAAAGTTAAAAAAATATTTCTTGGGAATTTTTTCTGGGAACCATTAAGTACATGTTCCTAGAAGACTGATATGAAATACAAAAATATGCAGGTCTTATAGCTCTACATTCTCTACACTGTTAAATTCATCATCAACTTAAAAGTACCATAAAATTGAAACTAAGAATAATTCCTGACTTCACCATGATTTCTTACATAAAAAACTATAGAAATAAACAAAAAAAAATGTAGATATTCCATAAACTAGGAGTATACTGAAATCATATGCTCTTAAATGATGAAGTATACATTTTATAAAGAGAAAAAATAAAATAAAATTCTTGATGAGTTAATATTTTATTTATATTCTATTATGTTTGATTTAGTAAAAAAGTTAAAATATAATATGATATTACATTATTATTACATATATTATTTATTACAATCATGATGAATGTATGTTCTACGACAATTATAAACAAAGGGAAATCTAGAAGGGAAGGGGTCAGATCAACTAACTCACAGCTAATATTTGTTGACAAAGTTGACTTCTTCCAGACTTCTTATATTAGTGTACAGACTATAGGTTAAGTACTAGAGAAAATGCCCCAGTTGTCATCTCCCTCCAAATTATGCCACTCATTTAATAGTTTAAATTCAATGATAATTATGAATACACTTAAAAACACAAATTATATAATGATACTGTTTTTTTGTTACAAGGTATACATTTAAAATCCAGTTTCAGCCTTAATAAGTGGCTTCTTAAATAGCCTGATCCACAGTTTCCTTACAATGGATCCGCCCCTAATTATTGAAAAGGTATAATTTTTAACTTATTTTAAACAAAAATGGTATATAGACACATCAAAATCAATACTAGTTGAATACCTATATAATTATGATATCAATTGACAACTAACGTAAATATGGACATAAGTATATCAATAAAAAACCTTGGAATGTTACATGTTTGGGGACATAAATATTGTGTTAATGATCTTGACTAAGTATCACTTTGAGAAACATGTAACACAATATTAACAAAAACTGGTTGGTTTGACAAATCTATATTAGATTACATACCTTCTAATATCGGTGACGAAGTCCTAAAGTAAAGAAAATTACAGTACCTACAATGAAATCAATAATATTTTTTGCTATGGGGAATTTGGGATTAGAATGATAAAATGTAGAGAGGTTTAGACATCAGATAACAAATTAATTGTAAGCTATAAAAAAAAACATATAATAAATGCAAACGTAATGTTATCAAACTATTGTCATAATCTATTATCACATGTGTTATCATTCAGTGCCAACCATACGCATAATGTGGAGGTCTAATTAGATACATACCAACATCAGTCCACATACCAGAACCGACCGAGTGCATACCACAATGATGACAACACTGCAATAACAATTTAGATAAAAACAATTTTTTCTCTTATTTCAACAGTGTTTTGTTTAGAAACGTTAAATCTAAAACGAAAACAATGTTTCAATTAAAAACCTATACAGTATAGGTCATCGCAGGTGGTCTTAGTACTTGAGAACCGGCGCTACTCAATTCTAGGATACAGGTAATTAATACGTTTTTGGTCAAATTTCAAAGTGTTTCAATGAGGTTATCCGCTTATGGTACATAATATACAATCGAATTGATTACAAGATGTGCCATAGCTCATAGGCACTGCGTTTACGTGCGCGAGTGTATATGTATATGTTTCGTGTGTATATGATTGTGTGTAATTTTTTTTTTCACTGTATTTAAGTGGGAACGAAATTGGCCTTCATAATATTCCGATGTAATTATTATATATCCGTCGTTCTTAAATTATCATAGTAATTCATGAACGCGTTGTTATTGAGTTGTAATTATGATTAGCTGTGTCGATTTCATATTTAGTAATATTTGAAGAGGTGTCGATTCATTGTTGTGATAAAGATAATTTGAAGACAATGGCCGAGATCAAAAGTAACAACAGCCAACAGCAACCAATCGTTAAAATTGGTCATTATATACTTGGACAGACACTGGGTGTCGGTACGTTTGGTAAAGTAAAAATTGGTGAACATCAGCTTACCAAACATAAAGTGGCTGTTAAAATACTCAATCGACAGAAGATCAAAAGTCTGGATGTAGTTGGAAAGATACGACGAGAAATACAAAATCTTAAACTTTTCCGTCATCCTCACATCATCAAACTTTACCAAGTTATCAGTACACCTACTGACATATTTATGATAATGGAGTATGTATCTGGTGGAGAACTATTTGATTACATTGTGAAACATGGTAAACTTAAAGAATTTGAAGCTCGTCGTTTTTTTCAGCAAATTATATCAGGTGTTGACTATTGTCATAGGCATATGATTGTACATAGAGATTTAAAACCGGAAAACTTATTATTAGATCATAATCTCCATGTTAAAATTGCTGATTTCGGCTTATCCAACATGATGATGGATGGAGAATTTTTACGAACAAGTTGTGGCTCACCTAACTATGCTGCTCCTGAAGTCATCTCAGGGAAATTGTATGCTGGACCTGAAGTAGATATTTGGTCATGTGGTGTTATTTTATATGCATTGTTATGTGGTTCTTTGCCATTTGATGACGAACATGTGCCAACTCTATTCAGAAAAATAAAATCTGGTATCTTTCCAATACCAGATTATTTGAATAAATCAGTTGTTAGTTTACTATGTCATATGTTGCAAGTTGATCCAATGAAAAGGGCTTCTATTGATGATATTAAAAAACATGAATGGTTTCAGCACGAACTACCTGCATATCTTTTTCCTTCTCCGGTTGATCGAGATTCTTCTGTGATTGATACTGATGCTGTTAATGAAGTTTGTGAAAAATTTAGTGTGAAAGAATCTGAAGTTCACAATGCTTTATTGAGTGGTGATCCACATGATCAACTAGGCATTGCATATCATTTAATTATTGATAATAAACGAATTGCTGATGAAGCAGCAAAAGCAGAGTTACAAGATTTTTATATTGCTAGTAGTCCACCTCCAACCATTGGAAGTCCAGATGTTTCAGCTTCAACTGCAGGCGCTAAACCACACCCTGAAAGAATAATGTCTCAGAGAGAACGAGCTCAATCTATAGATCAAAGTGCCCGTGGATCACCAATGAAAAGAGCTAAGTGGCATTTAGGTATAAGGTCTCAAAGTAGACCTACAGATATTATGAATGAAGTTTATAGAGCCATGAAAGCTCTTAATTTTCAGTGGAAAGTAATAAATCCTTACCATATTCAAGTAAGACATATGAATCAAAAAACTGATAGTTATACCATGATTTCGTTGCAACTGTATCAAGTGGATTATAAAAGTTATTTATTGGATTTTAAGAGTTTAACTAATGATCAATTAGAAAATGTAAATTTATCTACACCAGCTTTAGAAATTGAAAATCAATCACCAAGACAAGAAGTTGCAGTACAACCACAAAAAAAATGTGCAGGACATCATACTATGGAGTTTTTTGAAATGTGTGCTGCTCTTATTACTCAACTTGCCCATTGATTAATTTATAAAAATATTAATATTATTAATGTAAGTTTATATATAATAAATTGATTAGGTCACAAGTATTGTACAACCTTAAATCTTAGTATCTACAGTATATTTGCTTTTTATTTGTAATTATATTCTTAACATTATCTGTTATTATTCTGATATAGAAACATGATTATACTTACAATATTACATTTTTATTTTAATAATATTAAGTATCATTGAATGTAAATTTTTAAAAATATGTCAAAAGATTATAAATGTTAGATAGTATTGAACATCTCTTATATAAATATATATACAGTGAATATTTAGTGTATGTGTTAAATGTTCTTATATTGTAAATTTGTCATGTACTTTATTTGTAATACAATTATATAAATATTGTGTAATTTTATTAAATTGTTTGTCTTTTTTGTATTTCTTATACTCCATTTAAGAATCTATCTGTTTTAAATATAAATTAAACATTAATGATCTATACTAAATAGTGATTCCTTAATATTTTCCACTAATCATAGTATCTATTAATATATTTTGAAATCAGTTTAATTTTTCTGCAAAATAATGTTTAGTTATTTAATTTTCTAAAATGGAAATACTATTGATAGTTAAAAAAAGTCTTATTGAAGCTCCTTTAATTACAGTTAACCTACAAATTTTTTACCCCCAATATACAATGTATAACATTGTGGAGTTTTCCGTTAAATTATGATTAATATTAATAGTTGTGGAATTTGTATTTTAAGATGTCGAAAATTATGAAAAATATTTCTTTTGATATATTTCAACAAATGTATGTTAACATAAATTAATTAAAAATTACAAAATATTAAGTTACATTATTTTTTTATGACAGGTAAATTTAATAAATTTACCTTTTTGTATATATATATGTATTAAAGTAAATATATTTTAATCTTAAAATAAAATCAAACATTTTAAACTGTAATAAAATGTAAAAATATTTTCCAAGACCAATATGTGTTAATGCATTACTTAAAAATATACTAGCATTTTTAATCAATTTATACCTCATGTTCTTAACAAAAAAATGATTATATTGTGAATACTGTTTTAATAATAAATTCAAAGTTGAATTGTAACATACTGTGTACATTACTGTGTATTATTTTAAGTTATAGTCAACACTTGTAAATTGATAAGCTCAAACTCACTTTAACGTGTAATACCATAGTTTATTTTTTGGTATATTGTTACTTATAAAAAAAACCAATTCAAATAAATTGAATTTTTTACAAAAATTCTCATTTTTTTATTAAAAAAAGTTTAATATAAATTTTAGGTTTTAAAAAAAGTTTATAAATAAGGAAATTAGAAATATATTTAATTAATAGAAAAACATCCAAAATATGTAAAATTCAATTAAACATCTATAAAGTCTACGAATTGGTGTTTTATTTTATGCATAAATATGATCTATTGATAAAAAAATAAATGTATCATAAGTTACATTTCAATCATTATGAATGGAAATATTTATTTTATTTATTCATAAATTGATTATATTAGTAGTGAGTTGTGATTTATGTATACTATTTAATGTTAATAATTTTAAGTATATTTTTGAGATAACTGGGATATCTAATCTAGTAGGGATATCTATGTTTTAAATAGCTTAAAATCCATTGAATATATAATTTTTATAATGTTTTTTGTTTATTATTGAAAATTTAATATCAGCTTGATATGATATTTTTTTCTATCAAATTTAATGAAACTGAACTTAAATGTTATCAATTTGTTTCAATGCTATGTAATAATTATATTATGGTTAAGTTTAAAAAAAATATTCAAAAATGTATATTGTATATTAATTGTAATGTCTAAATTCTATTATCAATTTTGTTGGTTTAATAGAAATTTTATGTAAAAGTAATTTGTTTCATTTATATGTGGTTAATAACAATATTATTAGTTTAAAATTTTATATATAATAATATTTTTTATATATTGTAATATTATATTTTTAATTTTTTATAATTTAATGTTTAGGATGCCTACCGTTGATGTACCTGAAATCCGTGTAAAAACGGCTTTCAATGGGTAAGTTAATATAATATATTTTTAATAATAAAATACTTTTTAACTTTTAATATATACGTATATGTATATATATATTTTAGGGAAGTTATGATAACATACATAGATCCAAGAATAACATTTGATCAATTAAAGTATGAAATGCGGGTAATTTGTCGATTTTCACCAGATCAAGAATTTACTATGAAATGGGTAGATGAAGAAGGTAATTCAATTATTTTATGATAATTTTATTTTTATTTATCCGATTTAAAATACTCAAATATGTTACCACATAGGCAGTTTGATATTTTTCGATTGTTGGTTCAAGCATAGTTAATACCACTTACCCACCTACCAAAAAATCATATAAGGTACAAAACTTTACCTAATTTCTATTAAGTTACCAATTTACTTACCACTGCCAGTTGCCAAGAACATGTACCCAGCTATTAAAATTACATCATGACATCCGCCCCCAAACTGTTTGGTAGTTCAATGAACTACAAAATTCATGATCAAGCCGCCTCTGTGTCACCATTATAAATTGAATAGGCACTAATGATATGACTGATTTAATTAAAATTATTGATACATTGTATTTATTATTAAATATTGTTTTAACTTTCTAATTTTATTATAACATCACTGTCCTTGATATTTTTCTTAAATAATACAAGACACTAATTCAATTATACTTTAATTTATGAATGAATTAATGAATTAAAAAGAGCATTTGTTAACATTACAATGATTTATATATGAAGCTTTTAATACTTAAAATTTAATTTAATATTTTTAATAATTTTATATTTTTTCATCGGGCTCATGCCTATCAAATAAATAAATAAATATGGTTTTACAATTTTTTCTGTTTTATTAATATTTAATAATATATTAAATCATGTATATATTATAATTGTGTTTTACTTTAGGTGCTTGTTTATTGACTTTTATTAACATTTAAAATATAATTGGATTATATTTCTTTTACTAAGGAATAGATATTACTATTAATATCTCAGTGAAATAAAAAAAATATTTAAAAATAATTATCAGCAAATATGTAATATTTGTTGATAAAAGAATCAATTACCTACAATTTTAATAAATCTAATAAAAGAATTTAAAATGTTCAAACCATAAATGTAAACTTCTATAATTCTACTATACAGTCAAATATTTAAAACAACTTGAAATTCATGATACCCCTAAAAAATTATTATTATTTTATTCATGTGGTCTTAATAATTTTGGATGTTAAAATAATAAATTTAAATTAAAAAGCCAATAAACTAGCCGTCATTAGTCACATTTATTTATTGACTGACAATCTAATAGTGTATGTTTATTAATATCTTTTTGTCTATTATTTTATTATATTTTAATGAATACATTGAATTTAATTTATTTATTACAGGATTGTGAGTTAGTATTATTTGGACACAAATAACTTTTCATTTATTCCAGATATTAAAAAAACATTATTAAAAAATTTTAATTACTTTAACAGAATATCCACAATTTTTTTTTATTATCATATGATGAAACATTGCTTATTTAAAAATGTAAGCTTTTGATTCATATTAGAGTTTAATAATAAATTGGTTTTAAATGATAACATTTATTAACAAGAACAGTATCTATGATTAATCTGTTGTAATTTTTTTCTTAAATCTTAATTTCTATATTTAAAATATAAATAATTAAAATTATTTATAGTTCTACTTACTTTTTCTTAGTTACAATTCTAAAAAACAATAATTTTAATGTATTTATGTTTAATAATAAGTCAAATAATATGACCTTAAATAATAGAGTTTTAATTGTTTTCCCAATTAATTTGTTGTGCTGTACAGTGGCAAAGATTAATTTATCCTTTTAAATATTGAGAAACATATCAATCATGTCCATAATAAAATTAATTTACCACCAACCAAGCCATCCTGTAACAACGATTTTCATAGTCGGTTTTATGTATAAAAAATATTATATAGTTATATTGCTATAAATACTTTCATTCATTCAATTTGAATTTCTGGCATTTAATTTTTCTTTGTTATTTTTTTGTATTTAATCTACATTTGGTTATAAAAATTTGTTGTAATATGTCCAATTGGAGAAAATCAAATTAAATATTTCAAATTAGCTCTGCATAATTATTAAAAATAAATCTTTATACTGGTAGAAAAAGTAAATATCGGTAATATGAAATTATATCCCAGAGATGAGCAACTGAAGGCCCGCTTACTTTTTATCTGGCCCATCCTATATTTTCAAATAATTTCACAACATTTTTGTATTTATTAGTATTTAATTTTATCATGTTTATTGTAAAATGTAGATATTATATTTTGTTGTGGTATTGAACTCTAGCTAAATTATTAGATATCTAAATCTAAATCTAAATATATTTCTATATCAACATAACTAAGTAAGCTATAGGTATTAGACTCTTAATTTATTGCATTGATTCAGTCGTAAAATCAAATTAATTAAAATAAATGCTAAGTATCAATTTTAATTTTAATTTTTGCTTTCTTTTTATTATGGACCATCAGATTTTTAAAGTTCTAAAAATTGGCCCTCTAGTTACTTTGAGTTTCCCATCTCAGTTATATTGTATTATATACCAATTTATCAATTATATATTACTTAAATATTTTTTTTACATAATTTAAAAAAAAAATAAACATTTAATCATTAATTATGTTATCCAGTATTTCAAAATACTATCAATTGGTTATAAAATATTTTCACTGGGCGACATTCGTGTCTCCTTGTTAACTAGTTTAAAAAATGGACTGAAAGAGATTGGCAAGTTTCTGAAATTTGCAAGGCGGTCATATTACCATCCAGCTTCATGGTAGAGTCTCGTTATATGCACTAAAAAGCTCAGGATGTCATGACAAATAGTCGTCAATATTGCCGACCTAATATGTTGATTACGTTCATATGTAACATTAAATAGATTGAAATATTCTTCTTTGCATTTAGGGATAAATGCTTGAAGACAATCATAATGTATAATAGCTCGAGGTTTTCTCTAGAAAGTAAAAAATCATTCATCTCTTGATTAAAATTTCAAATATCAACCTCAGTTGATATTACATGTTTATATTAAAGTGGCAAATCGAGATCTGTCATACATGCATATCATTCATTGGATATATAAATCAAAATCATGCTTGCTAATATTGTCAATGCCATGATCGCAGAGATTCTTGATATTCTTGAACATAACCCTCTCATTCACAATATGTACTGTAAATTCTATATTATATATACTATAATTCACGATACATCTAGTAATTTGAACAAAAACTAAACATGTCTACCTAACGGTTCGTACAGTAAACGATGTTTACGTCCACTTTCCAAGGACCACAAATTACAGAAAACTGATATTCCTAGTTTCGAAAACTTGGTACTCAAAGAAATCTCCATCTGCTGGCGTTTTTATTGTTGAAATTAATGAAATAAAGATCGATAATTGATGGGTAGTAGTGCCGTATACTTCTATTTTGTCCCGTATTTTCATAGAAAAATATAGTACTATGCATCTCTGTGAAGTTTATAAAGTATAATAAATGTACGCAAATAAATATAACAAAACAAAGTTTGGTTTAAAGGATAAGTAGGATGAGGCAGTGGCGTAAACTGGGTGGTTCAAATGTGGCACTTGCAACACCACATCTAAAATGTGATGTTGCAAAAATATGTTTTTGCACCACCAGAAAATCATTGAAATTTGTATACCTAAAATATTATTTTCAAGAACCAAGGAAATCAGCACACTAAAAACAAAATTTGATTGTTTTTTTTTTTTATTAATATTATAATAATAAAGGCTTTAATGCTAAAATAATTAAAAATTTATTTGTTATTTAAAGAAATATATAGTTTATTGGGAAGAATTTTATTTAGGAAATTGGAAAACTTTTTGTTTTGGAAATTATAAATTGAGAATATGCTTCTGCACCACTAGAAATTGGATCTAATTTACGCCACTGGGATGAGGTATTTAAGTTTCAATCAAAAATATAATTCTGAAACTGCTTGGCGAATACTATGCGTCTCATCCACGAGAAATTTCTTTCTCTTCATCTAAAGAAAAGTTTACAACTGATAATGCTCCAAATAACATTCACAATGCCACTATCACTACATTAAGGATTTTTTGAAATTTTTAAAATTGATTCTTTTGCAAAAGCGATTATGTATCGTGATCAATATATATGGAAAAACAACAAGTTTAGCCGAAGAAAACAAGTAAAGAATGTTCTTAAACATTCAGTAGTCAAAACAAAATCAAGTGCTGCGTAGAGTCTATACTGTGCACCCTAAAAATACCGAATGTTGTTACTTGTGATTCCTCCTTCACGAAACATGGGGATCGACTTTCTTTGATAATTTCAGAAAGGCGTTATGAGTAGTCATCCAATTTATCTGTCCGTCTACCGAGCCCTGAAGTTATTTGAAAATCAAACCTCGGTCTTCGACATATAATACCAAAAAAGATACGCTTAATCAGGAGCAAGAATGATAATACTCACAAGAATAATCAACATTTTAACAATGGAATTTTATATATACATATATATTTAACTAAAACTACCACACTAACTAATTTTTCATTGTACATTAAAAACTACTATTCTTATTCATTTGAAATTTTAAGGGTCGAAACATTTTTGGGCTTCGGGCCGGATGGTATATATTTTTTTCATTTTTTGGTTATTTAGGAAAATAGGAAAATGTTTGTTTAATATATTAATTTTAATATTTATCGATTGGGGTGGATTAATTAATATAGGTAGTGTATATATAAATATCATTAAAAAATAATTAGAAGAATATACGATGATTTTCCACATTTATAAAATAGTAATTTCTCTTATTTAAAATAATAATCACGACGAAGTCAAATAATGCAGTTATAATATAATAAATCGAAGTATGATTTAAGTACCCATATTAATTCATAGTTTAAATCATTATTTACTTTTACTGAGAACAGTCATTTTTATGTTTATTTTTTACACAATTATACATAGTATTAATATTTTACACGTTATTAATTTTTATTGTAATTGATAGATTGATAAATATTGAATAATTACAAAATTACTAACACTAACATTTTTAAGTGTTTTTGTTGTCATAAAAATTGACATTATTATATAATTTTTACAATTTAGGTAGGTATTTTAGTATTTTACCATTTTTGTTTTAAATTTAGGTGATCCTTGCATATTGTCCACTCAAATGGAATTAGATGAAGCTGTGAGATTATACGAACTCAATAAAGACTCCGAATTAACAATACATGGTAAGTGATTACATATCTCAATTATTTAATTAAACCTCCTTCCATTTGTTGTCGCTATCGGCATTAACATTACTGTTACTCGGTAGTCGTTGTTACTACCAAACAAATTTGTAAAAATTAAGGTGTAATATGTTGTACTTATAATATGTAAATCTTACGACTTAGTGGTACTCAATTTTTGGTTTATCACATGCGGCTTGTGGCATTCGATCGTCAAACGTACGGCACGTCAAAACTACGCTATAACCTTATTTGCACTGTGTTACATTATGGGGGTACCTGTGCGAACGGAGAGTTGGAAACGGGCTGTACATTGTGGGCGGTGACAGTGGAGGGTCGCCGCGTAACACGATGGATTCGGCGCCCTGGTGTTTTGATTTTAGGGTGGAACCCGCACACGGCTAGTAAGTGCCCGTAGCCTAAAAGCTCAATATACATCGCGTTGCAGTGTTAATTTCGATAATATTTGTTCGTTCAATTTAGTATAACAATTATATTACCTAAGTGTAAGAAAGTAGAATTTCGTGTTGCATCCAGATTCTATTGATTTTCTAATTTCTTTTTCAATTTGTAGTAGGGAGCAGAGTTCATAATCTTGCATTACGTAACGTTTCTTCTCCATATTTTCGTTTCGGCTTACGCATAAATATTTGTCGATGATAAGTTATCTAGACGTAATTTTATGTTCTTCACTCACGCGTTTCGATTGTATTTTCTCAAAAATTATTTTTCTATTTGTGAATTTCAGTGATTTATATTTATACTTCGATCGATAGTATTATAAAGAGTGTGAGTTTTAAAAGACGCCACCCGTATTTAATCAAATGTTTTTAGACTTGTTTTAAGGGTTATATCTTATAACTAATAAATTGGGCATAGAATAATGGTCAGATCAATTAAGACATAGTTCTAATTTCTTCATATCTAGTTCATGATGAGCAAAGTTCTTATTTTTTTTTTTTAATTTCCACACATTTCTAGTGGTAGTATGTACAATTTAATTTTTCATTTAATTGCAACCATATTTTAGAATAAATATTGCAATTGTTCCTACACGTCATATTAGTTTCATTAAAATTTTTATTCAGTGTTCATCTAGTTATTTATTTTAAGGCTACTATTAAAAATTATATCTAATTTTCTTAAGTCTGATTTAAGCCTTTAAGCTTTTTTAAGTTTAATAGTAAAAATTAAAAAAGAAAAGGTCTTAAAATGGCTTGGGGCTACTGGAGTGCATCAACGGTTTCTGATCGAGGCAAGTCACCAAAACGCCAATCATCATCTATGGCCTTTTATAATCATCATGTACCAACTTCTACTCCAGCTCCTCCGTCTACGTCTTACTACCAACACCAACCATTACATAGCACTAGTAGTTTTGGTTCCATAGAAGATGATGATTATCATCATACCTCTACATTTTACCGCCGTCCTTCACTAGGAGATATAGAATTCACTGGACCTGGATCATTATCTTTATTGTTAAATCAGTCTATTCCTCCTTCTCGACCTAGAACTCCACCACCCCGTCATTTGTATGCACCACCAACTTCGCTAAGTTTGCCGGATTCATGTGGCTCAGCTATGCGACAAAACATGAACTGTTTTGGTTACCAGTCTACACCTATTGTACAACATTACCCTTGTAGTGTTCATGACCCATCACCATCTCCTTCTATATCTGATGACGAAGACCATGTTTATGCTACAGGTAAAAAATAAAATGGAATGTTTCAAAAGCAAATGTTTTTACTTTTTTATATAGTGATGTATGTGTATGCCATGTGTGTATGTATGTGTGCTGGTGTAGTAGTATACAATTCATTATTAATAGATATAATAAAGGTTTTTTATTTTAATTTTTGTAACTATTAAATGTGTACTTTAAATAAAAGTTTATTGGTCAATAGTTCAACTAGAATTTATATTGTGCATAATTTATTATTTTAACTAAATTAATTTATATTTATTTGGCTGGTATCTAATATGATATTAAAATTTGAGTTTCATGATGCATAAATTCATTTAATTTATAATAATGCATGTTAATAATACAATTATATTATAAATTAAATTTATCTTTGGATGATGTGTTACTTAGTATACTCTTTTACAATATTATGTATGGTTACTAATTAGGATGGGGTTATAATTTTAAGATTATATATTAAGTTCAAAAACATTAAAAGGAAGGTCCAAGATTTTAATCTTCCAGTAAAATTTGTTTGGAATAAAATTATTTTTAAATTTATAATAAGAGTTTGGAAAATGAGATGTAAATATTTTTTCAACATGTTGATAGGGTCATTTAAATTTTACATTACAGAATAAAAATTGGAAGACCAAAATTTTGAATATAGACATAATCTTTTAGTTTTTTTTTTTCTTCAATATAAAAGTTTTATTTTCGATGATGTCATCTAAACTTAATAATATTTATAATGTAGTTTGACATTTATAATATTTGCAGCTATGTATAAAAAAAATAAATAATTAAAGCTTTTAGTTAATGTATAGTTCTATTTTATTTGGCTTTGTTTATTAAGCATAATACAACTAAACTAACACATATTTTAATTATTTTAATTACTTATCATTTTAATGTTTTAGTTTTTCCTAACATACCACCTGCACCAGGAATGCCTTGCCAAGGAGAAGATCGTAAGTTTGTTAATTCAAAATTATAAAAACCAAAGAAAATATAAATATTATTAAAAATTAATCAATAATTACAGGTAGTATTTATAGACGTGGAGCAAGAAGATGGAGAAAACTATACAGAGTGAATGGACATATTTTTCAAGCTAAAAGATTTAACAGGGTATGTAAAATAATTATCTAATTCTACTTTTTATTTATTCAGTCACTATTTGAATGCACTTGTATGTGATGCAATTAATCACTTAAAAATAGTATTAATTATGTTTTCCATCTGACAACATTTGAGATTGTTTAATTTTATGTATATAATACTTTATATATGCATATATTATGTATGATAAAAATTGTTTTGATGTTTAATTTATATCAAATAATTATTTTAATTGTCTGGTTATTAATGATTGATAACTGCATTTGTATGTTTCTTAACAAATGAGATAAGATTTAATTTTATATTCTAAATTTTCAATTTTATATATTCTATGAATTTAAAAAAAAAAATTATATAAAATATGGGAATATTCTGTTGTTTTTCTTCTGAAAATCAAGTACAAGTACATGATAATAATTTAGTATGTATAGTATTTGTGAAATATTATTTGTGTAACTAAAATGATTAACTATTATCTTTTAATTCTTATTTTTATAAATAGCGAGCGTTTTGTGCATATTGTCATGATCGAATATGGGGTTTGGGACGCCAAGGATTCAAATGTATTCAATGCAAATTACTTATACATAAAAAATGTCATAAACTTGGTAAAAAAACTTGTACTAATGATCCTATCATTACTGATGATATCAATGGTGACTCACAAACAACCTTAAGTAAATAGAAACATATTTTAATAAACTATTATCTATATTTCATGTTTATATTATTTTTATTTAGGTACCCCTAGCTCTGATACAGCTTTGCCAGATTTGAAAGATTATACTGATCAAAATTCTGTTATTGATCAATCTGCTGATTCTGTGCCTATCGAGGATCCACAAGCTAAAGGTAATTTTGAGAAATATTTTTGTTAAACTATTCATAATTAAATTCTATTCATTATAGGTGATGAAGAAGTTGGAGTTTCACGTCAATATTCTATTGCTGATTTTGAGCTAATTAGGGTGATTGGCCGTGGAAGCTATGCTAAGGTGTTAATGGTTGAACTTAAAAAGACAAAATGCATTTATGCTATGAAAGTTATTAAAAAAGCATTAGTTACAGATGATGAAGTAAGTTATTTTAAAATTATTTCTAGTGAAATAAATAACTAATATATATTTTCTTTTTTCATCAATACATGATATATAATTAAGTCATTGTCTAATTAATATTATTAAAATTTAGTTTTTACTAATAAAAATATTTATTATACTTAGAAATATATATTATTATACTTAATATTTATTATATACATTTAAAATGTGTTATTTTTAATTCCATTTAATGTTTGAGGTATCAATAAGGATAATGTATGTCATTTATATTTTAATTATTTTGTCGTTATCATATTTCAATTAATTCATAAATTTTTAAATAAATTATATCTGGTTACTGTACTATGTGGCCTGAGGAAAAAATATGTGTTCTATCAATATATAATTATTACAGACTATTTCAGATGTATATAAATTGTATCTGAACAAGTCATATTATTGTACAAATATTTTTTTCAAAGTTAATGTTATTTTTGGCTATACTTTAATATAATTTTAGAAATCATTAGTAAGTAAAAAATATAATTTCTTCATACACCAATTTACTATCTTTTATTGTTTAAATTATAATTTAAAATTTATTTAAAATGGTAACAAATATTCTCAGTTAATAAATGCAGATTTTCTTACTTTAATCCATTTCTTTATTTAATTTAAATATTAACTAGTTATATGTTAGTAGTAAGTAGTTAGTTAGTAAGCTATAGTAAGTAGTAGTTATAAGGTATTATAGGTAAGTTCGTGGCATAAATCATTTCCTAAACAATTTTACATAAATATTTAATTCAAAAAAACTTAGTTAAATCATTATTATTACATAAGCTATTACCTATATCGATCATTTTTGTTTTTATGATAAATTGATTACATTTATAAATTCATATTTTATTTTATTATTATTATTAAATATCAGCAACTATACTATTTTGTTTCAACAATTATTTTTAGGTCGCAATTAACATAACAAGTTAGTAGAAGGGACAGTTGACGTAAATAGTGACAGTAAACTGTTATTTATCCAAAAAACAAAACTGATAGGTTATAACTGGTGACCGATTAATTTAACACACCTTTCTTATTTCGATCGGCCATGATACTTTTTCTAATTAAAGAAATATATAATTAATATTTTAAAGTATTAATTCTATTTATAAATAGGATTAATCAATTATTTATTATTTTAAAATATTATAAATACTTGTTTAAAATTATATGTATTTTAAATTTTAGGATATTGATTGGGTACAAACTGAAAAACATGTTTTTGAAACGGCCTCTAATCACCCATTTTTGGTTGGTCTTCACTCTTGCTTCCAAACAGCAAGTCGTTTATTTTTTGTGATTGAATTTGTACGTGGTGGTGACCTAATGTTCCATATGCAAAGGCAAAGACGATTGCCTGAAGAACATGCTAGATTTTATGCTGCAGAAATTAGTTTAGCTTTGAATTTTTTGCATACAAAAGGTATTATCAATTTTGTCTAAACAATACAACAGTTAATTAATTATTTATACAAATCTATTTTATAACTTGATATCAATTGAAATTTAAATATATTACTAAATTTGCTTAAATTATATTGATTTGTTTCATATAAAACAAGAGATAAAGTACATTTTATATTTCCATGTATAAATAATCATTGAACTATAGTTTTAAATAATTTTTATTTCATAATTTTCTATTAAATGTGGGCTTTTCAAATATTACTATAATTATTTTTCTATTAAAAACTTTATGTTTTCTTGTTTATTAAAAACTTTTTCCAATCAATAAATCTAGATTATTTTATTGTAAAAAATTTATTACAAACTAAAATTATATGTATCCATTTTTATCTATTTTAAAGTGATTAGAAACAGTAATTGTTGGTCACTATTTGTTACTCCTTTTGAATAAAAAAATTATCAATTTTTGGGGTATTGATCAATTTGTTAATGTGATAAAAAATTTAAAAACCGATTTGAAATTGCCATTAAATCTACTTGAGAATGATTTCCTTGTACTTTTAATTCTATTAATTAAAATTGATTTAGTCAACTTTCTTAGAACATATTGAGAAAAAAATTTAAAAAATAAGAAATTTTTAGACAAATTAGAAATTAAAATTTAATTATAAGAACAACATTAGATTAATTAAATTAGTATATTATCATTAAAAAGTTATTGTATTATTTGTGAAAACTAATTTTGATTGGGAATTTCAACCAATTAATGATAATTATTAAATGTTATTCTTTGATGATTGGCATTTTTATTATTATTGACAACTAACTATAAATATTATTTTCTTCTTTTTTAACTTAATTTATTAATTATTTTTAGAATTACATGTTGCTTTGTATATATTATTGAATCTTAGTTTTATACTTATTTTTTACTGGAAGTTTCTTCAATTTTATTTTTTTTATAACTCTATTTTTGAGAAAAAATAATATTTATATTATAAATACTTTTATAGGTATTATATATCGAGATTTAAAATTGGATAATGTACTACTTGATCACGAAGGCCATATCAAACTAACGGACTATGGAATGTGCAAAGAAGGAATAAGGGCTGGTGATACAACATGTACATTTTGTGGTACTCCAAATTATATTGCTCCAGAAATTTTAAGAGGAGAAGATTACGGATTTAGGTAAACATTTGATAAAATTACCAATACAGTTATTATTCATCTCTATTATTTACAAAATTATTTACTAAATTATTATTTAATTTTGATATTTATCAACATATGTATTCATTAATCAAACATAAAAAAATAAAATGCTTTAAGATGCATTAACTAATATTTTAACTTTCATTAATTTTACTTTTTTTTTCTAATAACTCTTATTATTAAATTTTTCTTTGTTCTATGTTTTTTTTTTTTTTTTTGCTACTTTTTCTTATCCATTCCATTCACATTTTACCATTAAATATTCAATGTATACCTATACTAATTATGTTTGTAAATTGCAAAATTCCTACTTTATATTTTATTAAATTAATTTAAAATATCAATCTTACTGGTTAATTTTTCCCTTATGATTAAATTCTTAGGTTACACCTAAATATAAAATTGTAAAAAAATTTTTGGTTTTTAATAAATGGAAAAGTAAATAAATAACTTTATTACATACATCAAGTACTCCAATATTCTTTTTCTACTAAAATTACGAACCTTTTATTTGTTTTGCTTTAATATCAAAATATATTAAACTGTCAAACAACTGTTCTCTCATATTCACTGTTCACTCAGCACAAGTAAACTTTTTATTCTTCATTCCAATTTCTTTATTCTTCATATTTTGTGGTTATTATTTTGATCATAAAACTTATTTTATATTATGCATGAAGTGAAGAAAATATTATTTTTTTAAAGATGTTTGTTAATGCATGTATATTATTTCAGTTTAGATAATCACTTTATAAGACACAAAAGGTTAAAAATCTTTTTGCACGATTCGTTAGAGAAATATAACTACAATTTATTAATTATAATTATGATTATTTATTATTATTTTAAAACTAGGCTTAATAGATGTTTAAAAAACATTAGAGCTATTTTAAGACTTAAAACATTTAAAACTGATATTTATATTTGTTTATTGATTTTTGCATTTAAATTATTATACTCATATTCTGTCACTTAATTTTTAAATATGAGATAATTATTGTAATAAACGTTTATAACAGATATAATAATGATTTTTTCCTCCTTAACTCTATATTACTTGATTAGTGTTCCTAGTTTTCTTTGTCTATATGACTTAAATATCTTCATTCACACAGGATATCCTTAATTCATTCCCAAATTCCAATTACATCTAACTGTATACATTACAAGTAAATTAGTAGTTTATAATAATTATGTTAATTTATTTTACTGTACGTTTGACTTAAATTTGTTTTGGTTTCTAGTGTTGATTGGTGGGCTTTAGGTGTTCTTTTGTATGAGATGTTAGCAGGCAGAAGTCCATTTGATATTGCTGGAGCATCAGAAAACCCTGACCAAAATACTGAAGATTATTTATTTCAAGGTAATAAGATTAACAAATAAATAAATATTTTATATTTCTTGTAAATAAATAATTATATCTTTGATTTTTAGTTATCCTGGAAAAAACTATTCGTATTCCAAGATCACTTTCTGTAAAAGCTGCTTCAGTTCTGAAAGGATTTTTAAATAAGAATCCTATAGATCGTTTAGGTTGTAATCGAGACACTGGATTTTATGATATTATAACTCATCCATTCTTCAAATCTATTGATTGGGAAATAGTAAATAATCATATATATTTAACTTCATTTTTATTTATAAATATTATTAGTTATTTAAATATATGAAATTGAATTATATTTAATTTATGATTTTAGTTGGAGCAAAAACAAGTTAGCCCACCTTATAAACCACGACTAGATTCTGATCGTGATCTTGCAAATTTTCCACCAGAATTCACAGATGAACCTGTACACTTAACACCTGATGACCTGTAAGTTGTTATATTATCTACATAAATAAATATATAAAAATATTCCTTAGAGTAAAATAAACCAAGAAATTATATTTATATAAAACATAATTGATAGTTATTAGTTATGGAAAACAAAAAATTAAATTCTCAATTTATTTAAATGAAAAAGGTACTCGATTCTATTACATATATTATTGACTTCTGAAGTTTAATTTAAAATGTTTTATTTATGTATATCATAGTACTAAAAGTTAAAACTCTTATTTAATATTAATATACTTGTCAAAAAAATTAATTTTTCATTTATTTTTATAAAAATAAATTCTTATTATATACATTGATGTGCGCCAAAAATTGACATTGTCGCACTTGGCACACCACTTAGTACTTGCGCGTATTTGATAAAATTAACTATTATGAAAAAAATCTGAACTACATACCTAAAGAAGTGTTGAGCCAGTAAATATGTAATATGTAAAATAAATAAAATTATGGAATTTAAAAATACTGAAAATATTAGAATTTATAATATTTGTCTTATTTTGAATAACAAATGTGGATTATGTCTGAAATAGAATATTTATGTTCATCAATAATTAAATACATCTGAGAAAAATCTTTCTGAACCTAATTATTGATTTTACAGTATTATTTGTGCAAAAATAGCTTATGTTGTTGTATAAATTATATTTAATTATTCGAAAATGTATTAATAACAGAACATTTTTCGCCATAAGTTGAATAAAACTGCCATGAATTTTCAATAAAATTCTTTTTGTATCTTGTTAAATTTTTTGATACTTGATTTGTTTTATTTTCAGTATTAAACTATTACACGTTATTAAGTTTTAACTTAATAAACTCATTTTAAATTACCTAGTTAATTTTAAAGTTTTTTGTTCATAATTTTTTATAACATTAAAAACGACCATATTCCGTATTCACTAGAATACAAAGTCGATGATTTTCTTTCCTTTATGAGAACTGTTTTATTTGGTATTCACGACAAAAGGGTCATTATTGTAATGACGACGACGACGGGTGACCCTGATATTTAAATCGACCAAGGACCCTATATACGGAGAAAATAATAACAAGTAGAGTGGGTTTTGTGTTTTAAGGAGCACACAACTGTGTAGTATGTACCTGGTATACCGATGCATTGTTTTAACAAGGAATTATTATAATTACTTGTCCCCTAAAATCCCCTACTATAGTCCCGCTTCATTCGTCTCCTGTTTTCTACACTTTTTAATTGCTACCCCGGTAAAATGAAAAAAAGATCAGCTGTTCCTCGCCGTTCTGTTTTTCAACCGTTGGTCACCGAGGTCAAGCTGATGAAAAACGCTTACCTCTGCCACCGTCGTTTCCTATATACTATATACACTCCAGGATTTCGTAATATTTATTTCCTTTGACATGGCGGTGCATTTAGTATTTTCTTTCTTTCTTTTGTGCTCTCTGTCTCGGTTTTTTTTTTTTTTTTTTTTTTTTTTGCGTGTTTTGGTGGAGAAAAAATAAAAATATGTGACTCTGTAGAAGTTCTTATGATAGAAGTCTTTTCAATGACATTATTGCGTTCTGTGATACTATAAGCTATCCAAAGCTTAACTACTTAATCGATATCGTTTTTTCTTTTTATTAAATTAATTGTTTCAACGCATTTTTTTTTTTTGTTTTTACTTTATAATGATATTCGATATCGTAAAATCTTATCTTTCTATATGCATGAATTACAATAACCATGTTAGTTAGAGTAGCTAATAGTAGCTAGTAGCTAGTAGTATTTGATTAAGCCCAAGTGATTAAGTAATGTTAATATATTGACATTTATGTTATTAAAATATTATTTTGATATTATTGCTCACATATTAAATCTATTTAGTTCAAGATACAAGTAATATATATGTTCTGTATTTTTTGTGTTGCGTTTGAGTTTATATATGATTATGTATCATCATATAAAAAAGAATACATATTAAAGAATAATTTATTTAAAATGATTAATAACAGAAATACGATACTACACAATTTTTTTATTGGTCTATATGTAAACACGATGGTACATATAGTTAAATTTTTAAAATTTTCTATATTATGTTACATTAACTTTTTTAACAACTTACATACCATATACTATTAAAAAAATACTGAGGTGTTATTTCTTTTTAATTAAGACAGCTTCAGTTACTGAGATATATTATACAATACATTTAATTTAATTTCATAATAAAATTAATTCTGTAAAATCTGAACGATTTGATTGAATTATTATTTTATTCAGTAAATTATATGTAAATAATTTATTCATGATGCTCATTATTGACGTTTATTGCTTTTGTATAATTTGTATGAGTTTTCGACTATTAATCTATTCAAATTGCCATTGAGTGCCTATTATAATCTTTTAAAAAATCAATACTAGGCATATATTCGAGGTATACATGTGCTATATACTATAAGGTCGACAATTTTCAACCTTTTTCCCATTTATATTTAATACACGCTTATTAAAGTATCTTAATTGTGTAAGCCCAGCATTTTTTTTGTGGTAACATGCATACTAAATTTCATTAATTTACATAATATGTTATGACCGCAGTGCATGCGTGTGTGCTATCGTGTGTGTTATATGTATTCTTAAATCATCGTCACATTTTGACAGCATATGCTGCTAAAGAACGAAAATAACAAGACAGTGGCGACGCCATCACATATACACACATTCTACCTATATTACTCAACGCGTTCGTAAATAATCTGTTGGCTATTGTACATCCAGTAAACACGGAACATAATTGGAAGTCAGCTTATATTATTCATGAGAAATTAGTTTTTTTTCTACTGTTTTGAAATATTTGTGTAAAAAAAAAATAATAATAATAATAATGATATGATATGTCATGTTAAAACTACCACAACGTCTATATTAAATACTCATTTTTTTCACCATATTCGTCGCCAACGCTGCTCGTATAGTCATTGTATACATATATGTAAATATAACTTCAATGAGGTGAATTTCAAACGTATTCGTTTAATAATATTACATTCTAATGGTACGTGGATTTTTTTTTTTTTGTTATGTGTACCGTAAACACTATCTATGTGAACTGGGATTAGAAAATAAATAATAAAATTATATAGATTTTTTCGTTGTGTTCAATGGAAACGTCACGGGAAGGGAGAAAGAATTCTTTCGTTTCAGCGTGCCAAAAAATAAAAAAAATTCAGTAGCGCATAAACCTAGGACAGTTGCCAAACAACGATGACGCGATATACAAAACTCTGCAAATGCAATGTACATTTATTTTTCGATTTTGTCGAAACCAATTGTGTCTGTGTAAAATCACAACAATAGAATAACAAATATATCAAACGCCTTGTGTATATGTTATAAAAAAAATAAAAATAAAATTGGGTCTTTGATTTTTTTTTTTTTTTAACTAACGGCAAGGAGTATATATAATACCGATGTCGGTGCTTTAGCCCTTACTACCATCGCGACCGCTTACAAATTGACGTACGATATAATTTGCATATAAATCGGCAACATGGCTTCTATACTATATAATATATAGGTGTGCTATTCATTTTAACAATGACGGTGATCCATAAGCATATTTTTCCGAAAATCACCGCCGTCGCAATATTATAACAGAGGGTGCATTATCCACTGCCAACTGTATATTTTATTTCACTCGGATAATCCATTAACACTATTATAAAAATAAAAAAATGTTCTCCCTCGTTATCAATTTCAACGATCTAATTAAAACGATATAATTTATTGTTTTTCAAACGCATCCGTTAGCTCGTGTGGGAACTAGAGATCTGCACTTTTTTTTTCGGTCCGATCCAGCCCGAAATTTAAACTTACAAAACGTCCCCACCTAGGCCCGTCCTTAATATTTTTTTTAAGGGGATTCGATCCGGGTTAAGTTATCCATCAAACTAAAACTATATTCTGCCAATTGTACTAACCTGCCTAATGATCAGATAAGACTCATAAAAACATATTTGACATAACTGGGCTAAATATTGTCATAATTCAAAAGCCTATAAATAAACTTTCAAAGATAAGACATAGGTAATTTTTTAAATGAAAATGAAAATTTTAGAAATCGGCAGTAGTAGTTCATTCGTATTTAGTTTATGGTATAGCTAAAATACAAAGAAGTTACTATTTTATTATATTTTTAATATATTTTGGGTCGCGATGAGTTTTCTGTTTAAAATTTAAAAAATCTATATTTATATATATATATATATAATGTATGTCATATGATATTGCATAAAAATGTTTTCGAATAAACCCGAAACCGTACTATTTTATACTATTTTAAATTTGTAGAAGATTAGAATGAACACTTTTTTTCTCAAAAACTCTTACTTAATTAAAAAAAATCCTCAAACCAATATGCAACACATACCACTAATCATTAACTGTCGAACACATAGTGGAGGAGTGTACACAATTTACCTCAATATTCACCGACCTACCTGAAAATGCCATCCAACATATTAAAAGTACTTAGCGAAAAACAAACTGTCACATTATTAACTAACACAAATATTATATTAGTAAATCTTAATTTACATCTAACTTCACCTATATAATATTTCATATGTAATATTGTAATTTTAATAACATCTAATAACTAATAATATTTGCTGTTGAAGCCTCAGTTTTCAAATAAAATAAAAATAAAATGAACAATCAAATGAAGTGATAGCCCGACTTAATTTATAAATCTCATTTACATTTCATATATCTATAAACTGCATTGTGTTAAATTGAGCTGCGGTGGAGATTTTTCGTGTGAAAACAGTCCGGGACAAATATCGCACTCATTTCTTTTGTGTATTAAAACATATACATTTTTTGGTATCATTACATCTATTTTTTTTTGTATCATTACTTATATTAAAAATTAAATATTTCCTAAATTTTGATTTATTCAGTTATAAAAGCACTTCTAAAATGGCATACATTAAACTATTTTAACTTTTTCATTTGATTTTCATGGCTAACGAAATTTACATGGGTCGCGAAAAATGGTTGGTAAGAAAAGTGGGTCGCAGGTCGAAAAAGGTTGAAGACCACTGGCATATTGAAAGAGGGTTTTAAGCGGGGTAATTACACACACTAATGATCATTTACTTCGCACACACTCTCATGGCGTTCACCCACGCGTGTGACAAATTGCCTATATTCAACCCCTTAAAAACTACCCGGATCGAATCCCCTTAAGTCTAACCCGCCCAGGCCCGGTTGTAACATTTATTATTTGTTTTTATCAGAGATAAATTTATAAAAATCATTTAGGCTAATAATAATATATACGTATTTTTATTAATGAATGATCATTCTCATATGCTGTTTAATAATTTGTACACTCCTCTTATAAATATACGCCACACACTCTTTTTAAATTATGTTATTATTATTTTAACTTTATTCGCTTTCTTTTATAGTTATCATTATAATAATTGTATCGTTTACTTATTATGCTTTATTATGTACTCGTATAGTGTACACGTTATTTTAGTATATTAGTTATTTCTTTAATAATATAAGTTGAAGATTTTTCGTTCATCAATAATTCGGGTATATTATTATTATACTTTTTATCATGTAAAATTGTAAAACGTGAGAAATATTCTCGTGCATTCAAAGACAAATATTGTGAACATTTATAATATATAGTCAGTGGTGGCTCGTGGATGCTGACGAAAGGACATGTGCGACAATATGAATAAGTGTCCGTCTGTTCCTGTACCATTCGTTTTTGATATTATTGTTTTATTATTGTCCAAATGCTAGCATACAATCGCGATTTAAAACGCACGCGATTATATAAAACACTCAATTAATCGACAATAATATCGGAAACAGTAATCCGGGGGTAAACTGTTCAGAATAGTTAAGAAAAGATTATTATTGATATTTATATGTTTGGACGACGCGGTTTGTCGTCCATATGCTCGCGGGATACCGTTGCTTAATCGTATCCGCAGGCACACGTTACGTTCCTGCGGTCTAACATGATATATACAATATTATATAAAGGAGCCTGGGCAACGACAATTTTTGTCCGAAAGCGGCGAGCGGCAGCTATCACCCAGCACTCAACAGTGATAGGTTGATACGCATGCGGCGCTTCGTACTTAAGGCATCGCTCATGGTAATCGCCACGATTGCACCCAACGACATTTATAAAATGATTATTTTGATTATTTGAAAGTCACCATTTTAGTATTTTAAATATTTAATTATTCAATAAATTATTAATAGGTACACTATTACAATTAGAATTAATTTTCTTCTTTTTATTAATAATAGTAGGGGGATTGTCCCGTCGTCCAAGCCACGAGCCGCCACTGTATATAGTATTAAGAATAATAAATATATTTCTGTATTAGTGGTCACTGGTCAGAGACTGAGTGACTGAGTATTACGAAATTCATGACAATATAATTCCATTTTTTAATATTTAAAATTGCAACTCAACTGTCGTGACGGTAAACTACTGTAAATAAAACTAACTTTAATTTGTTATTATATTTACAAAAATCTCAACAGTGTTATTAAAATAAAATTATTCCTCAAAATATTATCATAAAACAAATTATTGAGTTCTTGAAGAAAATAAAATTTATATGAAACAAAAATTACAAAAAAAGTTACGACAAAAATTATTTATTTAAGTACTATTTTATTATAATATTCAGCACAACTATGTCATATTTGTTTTTAGTGTATTACAATTTATATTTATTTATAAATATTTTAGTCACTTTAAACAATTAAAAATATTAACTGTAAATTAACAAATTTTGAAGCTATGTAATTTAAACACAAATTGAGTAATAACTTATAAGTTGTTCAATATTTTAATACTCGTAATATGATTTTTTACTTTTCTATTGTTGTACTATATTGCTACCGATTTGACATATTTACGGTTTTTAAATTACAAATTGAAAAGCGACCTCCCGGGTGTGTGTCAATATTTTAATGTAACGGTTACGGAGGTCAAAGGGACACGTCATGTAATTTGTCAGGCCACGCGCAATTATTCAAATTTTTTTGTTGTTGTATTGTCCATACTTTTATTGCTTGTCCGTTTCCATTAGATACATCCCCGGGGCGTGAGATAGCCGTGTTCCCTTCGTTTGACACCTTGGTTCATTATCATGGTGTTTTTTTCACTCGTCATTTTTCCTCCAGTTTCTCTGTAACAGTGTCTTCTTCTCCCGTTGTGTACATTTGTGAACCCTTTAACAGTTTTGCCTACGGATCATTTAGCACACGAATTAGCATATCGATGTATGCCACGCTCGAAGACAGAATATAGTAAAGAATGAAATATATACGTGTGCGTTTTCTAAAGGAGGGCCATTTGTCTACCGGTGACGATGATGGTGATGATGCGTGTCCACTAAAATATTGTTGTACGTATGTATTGTATATACCGGTCAATGCGCCATGTTTTGGCGACATCACACGCTCGTTCTCCACGACCCAAGTTGTGTGTATGATGCTTTATTTATAGAGATGAATCCCAGGGACATTAGAAACAACATATGCTAGCAGTAAAAATGTATATGTGTGTGTATGAATTATATAAAAAACGATAATAATAAAGATTTGACTCGGTGTTGTTATATTATTATAAGTCATAACTGAAAGTTTTTTCCGAGGCTTTGGGCCAAAACCTGACGGATTATCTGCAAATATTCGCGTTATCTAAAAATAATCTCGGGCCACCATGGTTTACTAACCACATTCGAGAATTCCAGAATTTTTATAATAATACGTATAAACGAAAATGAACGAAATCCATACTGGTTTCTTTCTTCGGATACCAAAAAAAAAAAAAAAGTGCCTAAAATATGATAACGGTATGTATGTACACTTGAGTGCACGTGTATGTAACTCGTAATTCGTAACAATTCAACAAATTAAAAGACAACACATAAAAATAAAATAAAACCGAAGAATTTAGAATAGTTTATCGTATTGGGACTCGTCTGCATTATATTATATAATATTAGAAAAAAAGAGTAAAGTAATAGATTGGTTCTTTCTTAGTTATTTGTGGTATAGTTAGATTTTTTTTTTATTATTATTATTATTATCCAGTAATCATAGTGATGGTCTGCCAAATAGTAACGGAAAATCTCATAGTAGGTTATATATATTTTGGATCTAGTTTTACGATCGTACGAGGCTGTATAATATATAGTAAGTAAAGAGACAAAGCGACCGTTGAATGGTTCAAAAAGGAAAAAGAGGCGAAAAAATAATAATCATAAAACCTTTGTGAGGAGGACCAATGACTATCACTCGTACTACTACTACTACTACTACTACTACTATATTGTACGCCGTTGATCGCGATGAGTCTCTGCACCCTTATTATTATTACTACTATTTAGGAGATGAACAGCGCATTTTTATGACCAAGCATTACCTTAAAAACGCAAGAAATTTTACGATCCATCAACTCCCTGGTCATAGGATATATACGTAATTCCTCCATCATTACAATGAAAAACGCTTGGGATAAATAAAGAGAAGTTTTTCGATTACCATCCGAGTTCATCTTCTCCATAGATCATTTTTTGGGGTTCGAGGAGAAGGAGCGTTAATGGAGGTAACATGATTTGATAATGGTTTATTTTATGTCTCTATAAAAAAAAAACACGCCACTCTCTCAAAACATACTTGAAAATAGGATTCTCAGTTATTCATTACCAAAACAATGCATTCTGTTGGGTCGGCCTGCCAAATGTTAATTAAAATTAACAAATGTCTTCAAGGCAATAATTGCTCCAATTTCAATAGTTTCTGTTAATTCTGCTTGTACTATTCATCTGAAAATTATTTAATTATTTACAACGCTCAAGTCTAGTACATCACGCACAGTCTCTTGAAAACAAAAATATGATCACTTAGCTGACTTACACAATTAATTAATAATTTTATTGACACTGTGAATTAATTGTCACCCAGTGCTCATAATTAATTGTATTAATTATTGTACTTATACATGTAGATTAATTAATAAAAATTATTTAAATTTTATTTAAATTATTAAATACTTCATTTAAATTTGTACTTGAATATGTTCAGCATTTACCAGAACGTGATTCTATAAACTTATTCAGTTGACGCATGTGTTTTAAACTATCCTCCCCATATAAGTATACTATTTAATCCATTAAACGTAATGTTTTTAAAAAACAGTACTTTATCCAATTTAGTTACGAAAATCTTTATTTAGAATAAGAGATATTTAAATGCTAATATTGAGTGAAGTCGATATTAAATTATTAAATTATGTATATCTTTTCGTTTCTGACATTTTGTAGTTGTTTTTGTTATACTGCGTTTGTTTTAAATTTTTTGTATTGAAAATCCTCTTAATTATATCATTTTGTAATAATGTTTTACGATGTATGTATAAATTACGTGACTGCTGTTTTGTGCATATCTAAGATATGTCGTGTAGAAGTATAGGATCTGACAATTTTCATTCAAAAACTGTTTGTTATGATGATTTCGTCAATCTTGTACACAAACTCGTTCGAATTTTCTTTTACATATATTATTTGTATTGCAATGTCTAATTGTAATAAAGATAATTTTCTACGAAACGTAACAAATATCATTCTTAATTTCATTGTTTGTTACTGGGCAGCATAAGCTATATACCATTAAGGGAATAGTATATTACGGATAGAATTAAAATGTGATGACGTGATTGAGGAACTACTGGGGGTGACATATGTATACCATTTAAATCCAAGTGTCACTCTATTCTATACGCGTGTACACTATCGTCGCTTGCACGGTCATTTCTATACAAATATCACAATCAACTATAACATGGTGTTTTTACTATCGTAAATATGTGATTACTTTGCCAGTCATCATTTATAATATCGGTCATAGTTTATTTAATTTAAATTTTTTCGTTTTTGCCGTAGACGAGTCATCGAAAAAATCGATCAGTCTGAATTCGAGGGTTTTGAATACGTGAACCCATTACTGATGTCGCAGGAAGATAACGTGTGACACGAGGAGGACTGCGGCGACTACGCCGCTCCCCATCTGCAGCAGTACCATCACGATGCTGACTGTCCCTGTTCGACGACGATCGACTCGCCCCCGGACAATGGTAGACCGTCGTCCAGAGGATGGTTCTGTTTACCACTTCGATAAACTAAAAAAAAAAAAGAAAAAAAAATACTATATTATTATTAACAAGTCTGCCGACGACGCTGCCGCCCGCCGTAAGATAATATTATATAATTAATATAATATTATATAATTAATATAATATTACTATTACACATAATAATATAGGTAGTCATTATTCTTGCGTGCCCTAAACGCGCTCCAATCGCCGTCGTCGATGATTTTAAAAGCTCAATAATTACTTAGACGATTTTTACATTTTTTTTTCTGTTAAAATTTGTTTGATTTTATTCCTTTAAATTAAATTCTAAAACGTTTTCGTTCCTCTGTTTAACACAATTAACTCGCTTTATTTAACATTGTATACAGAATTTAAAAATTAACAACTATTTATATTTATATATATACAACATATATGTAATACGTCAGTGTAATAGGTACCTATATCTCGTGTGTATATGTCGAATAAAACCTTTGGTCGTTAATATTATACATAGGTAATAGTTATAGTATTATAATGGTTTATATTTTGATAATACCACACGACTTAGACACAGCGCCGCGCAAAAATACTCATACACACGTTCGCGCTTCCAGCCAGTACCGTGTTTATTGGAAACTATATATTATACGTTTTTTAATTTTTTCCTTCCCTTTGGTTTGGATTTATGTAAATAGTTTTTAATATTATCGGTCGCTAAACAGTGAAAATTAGTCTCTGGACCGTACAATTAAGAAATTCAAATGTCGATCTACGACCAAGGGTTCCGATTTTCACTACGGGACTACGCGGTAGTATACCACATATATTTTATACATATGTATATGTATATATACCTATATGCAAATTGGTATTCAAAGCTCAATAATTATTAATAATCATAATAATGAAGATAACATATTTAGATAAACTAATTAAACATTTCTTATTTCAATTTACAATTATATATTATAAATGATAACTATTTTATATAGGTAACGCACTTACATACATATTATATATTTGTTATAAATATTTAACGCACGAGAATTTTATTTATTTAACAACTAATTAGTATATTATTTTTAAGTTCTTTTAAATCAATATTATTACTTTTTTACTATTGTTTATTTATTTTTTACGATTATATTAGTATTATTTACAAGTATTTTACTCGACTTTCAGCCAGTCAAATTAGCGAATTTTTGTCATAAAATATTACTTAATTGCAATATATATATATATATTACGATAGACCACCTTTTGGTGGCCATTTAAGGGATACATAATTCAGTAGATCTGTAATCTCTCACTCACAAATTTTGTTGTTTTTAATAAAAAAAAAAATGTTTGCACGTTGTGATTACAATATATAATATATATTACAATATATAATTATTTGGAATTCTTACGAAAATTGAATAAAATGTTGATCGATATTATAAATTTTAACAGTTATTAAGTATTGTGATTATATATGTATGCTGGTATTTATATAGTATTATATTATTATAAGTAATTAAGTTATTGAAATTATCTAAGACGATTATATGAGTTATATTAATACGGTTACTATCTTATATAGACAAATTATAAAACTTATTATTTTTTCGTCACCGTGTTATTTGTTATTACTTTGTTTTCCCATCGTTATTATTTATTCGCTATTAAAATCGAACGCTCGCACAGTAATATAAGATTAATACCACTTCCGTGCGACACAGGTAGACTTCGCATCCCGTTGTGCGTTCCTCGCATCTCCTAGTTTACATAATAATCATTTCCTCTCTCCGTGCTCACACTTCACTTCCACTTCGCTGATAATATTGTTGTTGCGTGTGAAGTGGCGGCCGCTGCAGGTTGCGACGACCCGTCGACCCTGCGATCGCCCTCGACTGGTTCGAAAAAACTTCGTTCTACGGTGCACCCTGTACTCGAGTGTATTGAGTACGTGTGTACCCGTTGCTCCTCGTGGGCCACATTTGCTGGTATTCATTACTACGCGAGTATTCTCTTTTCCACAAATCCATAGCAACGATACACGTGAGTGAGAAAGAAAGAGAGCGGAAAGCACTTCATATCGTTGATGATCACGGGGCTAGTGGTTTATATATATGTTCATGTTTATAGACAGAGAAAGACGGGGTGTGTATACCCTTATGTTGTGCGCACAGTACATTTACGTTTTCCTCTGCTGGACTTTTATCGTTATAATTACACGATTCGTTCCCCTGAAAAATAATTTATACCCAAGCGAAAAGAAATATTGAAAACTGAAAATTACGATACAAAAAACATGTACTGCTGTTGTTCATGTGACGTGTGTGTTTTTTATTTTACTCTGCAATTTTTCGGATAAAAAATGAAACTCCAAAGTACTCGTAGTATACCTGTACAACGAATTGACGATTGTGATTTTGTAACTTTCACGTTTTAAAACGTTAACGATTGCCCTTAAACCATAATGTAATATTTTATTATTCCGGATTCATTCATAAACGTTTCGTTATATTATCGAATAGATTCTTTTCGAGTCAAAAGTCCATAAATCGATTATTCTATAACTCTCGTAAATTTAATATATGCACAATTTCAACATAAAGAATGGTTTAAGATTAATATTTTCAATTTCATTATTAAACTTCTAAATTCATGTACGAAATATTACAGACTAGTTTGTTTCCTGCTATTCTTAATTTTTATAATCGTTTATTCCAAATATTATTGAAGATATATGAGTTCATTCTGAATGGTTAGGTTATTGTTTTTATTATTTAATAGTATGTATTATAAAATATATTGCATTCATTTTACCCAACACTATATAATAATTAAAATACAATATTCAATTGCGGTTGTAAAAACTTTAATAATTCCTTTGGATGTTTGTGTGTCGGTATTCACACGGTTGATTAAGGACGAATATTCGCGTTTCCTGGTCGTGGTACACACTACTAACTGCGGTACCTACTGTGCTGTATTCTAAGAAATACAGTACAACGACCATTCTCCAGAAAATGCTAGATTTCTGTCCACGTTGACGAACGTGACGAATTGACAATTGACATCCATTTCGGTGGATATAATAATAATAATTCAGCCGTTCTGTTGGCTCGTTCCAATCGCGTACAATGTACTCGAAAATTCGATTGTGCTTCGAACGCGAGATGAATCTAAAGCGGTCTTCGGGATGGTATTATAGGCGGTGCGCATCGCGTGTTGCAAAACCAGATTTAATAATAAGTATGATTAGCAACGTGAAAACCGATTCTTGTCCGACGTTACACGTCAACAAGACGTCTTTGTACCGTAGCGCGAGTAATAATAAGCACGCAACAAAACACGTAGTGGTATCCCGCTCCGGTTTTTCCGTGCGTACAAACGAAACGACCGCCGCGCAACGGTGTGCGTTACAATGTTATACGGTCCGCTGAGAGAAAACTGGAATCGCATTGAACGTGAAATAATAATAATGTGCGAACGGTAATCATTGTGTCAGTGGCACGGATCAACCTACCGAACGGAAATCCGACGACAACAAACGCGGTGCAAAATGCCGTCACGTCAAAACACTCGGCGGTGTTTGGACCGTAGAATGTGTGTACGCTAGGTACAACTACTACTGTGTGTGTGCAAAGCCAACAGCAGACGTGCACAAAGAACGGCAGTCACGAGGGAAGATCGTACCTAGGGATCACCAGTTACAGTGTGCGCGCGGGTATACGACCATGGCAATAAAACGGACGAACAAAAGAGTTTGAAGAAAAGAAAAAAAAATGATGATGATAATGAAACGTACCCGGTATAATAGTTATGCGAACGTTTTCCCAAACATAATTTTCACCGGTTTACGTGTGTAGAGGGGTGGGGGGACGAGTTTTACGACTAATAAACATCACGTTGAAAACGCGTATAATTCACGTGCACGGATAAGGGAAAAAGGGACTCGGGGTGCACGCCCGATGATGGCTCTTGAGCATAATGAGACATTGCATCAGTATGTATAGAGGTGCGATATTACGGGACCGGATGGTTCATCTCATTGGCCGTCAAATATCGCGATCACACGCACTCTCGTCATCACGGCCTTCACCGTATAGCAGTAAAAACTAAACGGCCGAACGCGATTCCTTTCCTTTTTGTCATTTCCACCCTACGTAGACAAAAGTCGTAATTTTTTTCCCCGTTCTTTATCCTACATATTTTATTATCATTATCATCATTGGTTTTTTTTCCCGACTAGTACTTATAAATTTATATAGGAACAAAACGTCTGGTAATTTATTGTTATTGTACGCGTAAATGTGCATAATGTGCAGTATAGGACTCCGGTGTTTTATTAGCGCGCGTTTAATGTAATATACGCGCGCTTACGGACCGGCATGGAAATTGTATAAATATAGAACGTACGTGATATGCATACTCGCGTATCTCGTGCCATATTTATGTGACAGTGGCACGGCGAAGATATTATTTTGGAGCAATTGCTCCTTCCAAATGTTTGGTGGTTGGGTGGACCCCCTGCCACAAAATACCTAGCCACATAGGTAACGAACTGTGTACCATAGAAATAGAAATAAAATATGTAACACAAATGTGTCTTTACTTATGTAACCTACGTCCTACACTTTACAGCATAAAACCTGTTAACTATAGTTCAAACATTTAGTAGTAAGTTTGTACACCGAAAATATCAGTCTGTCGATGCCTGGTCATCGTCGGTCTGTTGCAATGCATTTTTAGGAAAAGACAGATTAGCTGGTTGATTTATAGAAATTCGTCCAAGAATTGCGATTGCTTATCCGCTTATTGCGGCGTAATGGACTCCTATATTTCAAGTAATCATTAGCGCGTAATCAAACTGATTAGATTTAAGTGGTTTATCCCACTATATTAGATTATTAATAAGATTTTTAGTGGTCACCATGCCGTAATCCGGTGAACAACGTGGTTTCATCATCGAGACATTTTTCAAAAACGCCGAATGTGTGATTGCAACACAGAGAGCATTTCACACTATATTCAATTTGAATCCAAACTAAAGTGTCCCTGATCAGAAAACGATTTTGAATTGAGTACAAAATTTAAGAGCAACGGGATCTGCAATGCCTAAAAGCCGGTTGGAC